GCGGTTGCGCGCCCACCGTGGAGCTGGAGCCGCCTGCCGCGGCGCCCGCCGCGGCCGCGGCGCCTCGGAGCCGCCCTTTGCGCCGGGGGCGAGGCTCAGTGGCAACCACCGGGGGGGGGTTACAGCCAAGATGCTGAAATAAGGAATCATTTGGATTCGGAAGGGGCTCGATGTTCCTTAGGTTCCTCCAGTGCTGTTCTTGCCCTCCTGGGGCACGGAGGCGCCTACAGGGCCAAGAAGGGGCGTCGTTCCTTATGTAGCGTTCCTTCTTTCAGCGTCCCGACTGTAGGCGAAGTGGGGTGCGCATCGATCCCCAATCGCCCGTTGATTGCCGATAGGGGTATGATAGCCCCACCCCCCGCCCAGGAAGGTTCGGATTTGCTTTCAGGGGCCCATCGCCGATCTATCGGCGATACATCGCCGATTCCAGGTCGACGTGTCCCCCCGATGCCAATCCCCCCCATATCGTTGCCCTCTCAGGGGAGGGCGAGGTCGAGAAGGAGAGCGGCGCCCTCCTCCTCGACCTCGCCGCCGCCCTCGCCTCGCCGCCCTCATCGCCGCCCTGTCCACTCCTCGCGTTTCTCGCCGCCCCCCCCCCCGCCTTCGGCGCGGTGAGGAGGAGGGCGGCGAGAGGGGCGAGGGCGAGAGAAGAGCAGGAGGGGACGAGAGGAGGGGAGAAAGAAGAGGACGAAGGAGGAGAGAGGCAGGACGAGGAGGATGATGACGACGAGTAAAGGGAAGGGGGACGGCAGGCCAGGCGTCCTCGAAACCCGCTTGTCTTCCATTGCACCACGCAGGGTGCACAATCTAGTCTGCTCCACACAGCTTGCACACCATAGCGTGCACAACACATATTGAACCGCATTCTTTACACCACATGTATTGCACAGCATATGTCGCACCACTTAGAGTGCACAACATAAATCCTCATATTATAAGCAAGAAGTAGGATCTACCCCCCCTCCCCCGCACCCCTGGGTTTATCACGCCAGCCTTGGGATGTGCAATTTACATGTGTTGCTCCATCGCTCATTCTCAATATGAATTCGTACCATCCCGGCCAAACTGGTATCGACCACCCCCTCATCTTCATCAATATTACGCGCGCGCGCTCGCTCAGCCAAAAAACCCGCAATGCTCAAAATCCTCCTGTAAAAAAATCGGCATCGACAACGTCGCGCGCCCATGCCGAAATCCGTCAAACACCTGCAGTTTCGTAAGAAATTCCAAAACGAGGTCCCCGAAAAGAGCCACTGATTTTGCAACACGATAGTTGACAAAGTTCTGCGCTTGCGCTCTCGCGAATTCATATGAAAACCATCGGCGCCATCATTTTCGTCAAAGGCGACCAAACGGGCCTCTCGGGCGCATGTCGGAATCATTCGAACCCTTCTGCGCGCTTGCTGGCGGAGCACGGTCCCTGGCAAATAATACTCTGCGGGCCACTCGCGCCAATCGGCCGCGCGCTTGTCGAATCCTCCCACAACTTTCATCACTGACGCGTGGACACCATCATCGTCACCGGCGTGATCAGCATCGTCGCCGTCATCGGCCTTGCCGTTGTCATCGTCATCGTCGTCACCAGCATTGCAACAAGCATCATCGTGGCTGCCGTCGTCGACGTCGCGGTGACACCGCGCCCGCCCGAGTCACCGACTCGCTCTGAAGTGCCCGGGCGGCAGCGCGGCCTGCGAGACGTGCCAGGAAGTCTCCAAAGGTCAGCGCCACCGCGACTGCGTCGGTCGCGCCAGACTAGCTGGCCGTTCTGCGCGCGAGACTGCGCGCGCTAGCGCGGTCGCAGCGATGAGCCAGCCAGCGCCAAGCAGTCATCGCAATCGCCGCCGCATGCGTCTTGCAGGCCAAAACTTGCGGGCGGGTGGGTGGGGCGATTGTGTGACCACTGGAGTTGACCATTTCAAGTTCGGCACCGTGAGTTGCACCATTTAGATGCTCCTTTCTAAGCATGAGATCGGTTCTACCCCCCGCGGGACTTATCGATTCCCCGGGAACCTATGCAATACACGTATGATGCTGACCCAATGTCCATCCTACCGGTGAATTCATACTATCCCAGCCAGAGATGGTATCGGCCCACCCTCGGTCCTCTGGCAAAGAATACTATGCGCGCGCATTCGTTTAACTATTACAAATCATAAGTGTTCAACAGCCCCTTGCAAAAACTGGGACGAAGTGCGCACGCGCGCGTCGCATGCCAAAATCCGTCAAACTCGAGTGTCCAAACACCATAAACAACACAGGGCTTCGCCACACGGATTTTCAACAAAACCGTGCGCGCGATCTTGCGAATTCTCAAGAAAACCATCAGTTGTTTCTAACATGTTCATAAAATGCAACCAAACGTGCTTCGCGCGCGCATGTCTAAACTGTTCGAACGCTATTGCGCGCGTGCTGGGGTGGCACGATCCGTGCCAAATAATGACATGCGAGCGAGCCACTCTCGCGCGTCTGCCGCGCGCGCATTTCGAATTCCTTCCAAAACCTTCATCACCGACGCGATGGCGCCGTCATCGTCGCCGGCGTGATCAGCATCGGTGCCGTCACTGGCTGCCCCGTCGTCGTTGTCAGCATCGTCACCAGCATCGCTACGATCATCATCGTGCCTACCGTTGCCGGCGTTGCCATGATACCGCGCCCGCCCAAGTCGCCGTCTCGCACTGAAGTGCCCCTTGGGATGTGCCGAGCGGTCAGCGCCACCGCGTTCGCGTCGGCCGCGCCAAACTAGCTGGCCGCTGCGCGCGCGAGCATGCGCGGGGGCTAGCGCGGCCGCAGAGATGCGCCAGCCAACACCCAGCACTCATCGCAATCGCTCCCGCATGCGTTTTGTAAACCAAGTTGCGGGCGGGTGGGTGGGATGATTGCGCAAGCCGTTGAAGTGTCACCTTCAAGTTCGGCAAGTGAATTGCACCACATGGGATGCGCAAGCCAGATTGCACCACATAGACTGTGCAACGCATATTGCTAGACATACATTGTTCGGGGCCCACGCTGGTTAACCTACCAAATTCCCATCAGCCTTGATGTGTTCACGGGGCTGATCAACCGGACCTTGGCCCACGCCGTGAGGTGCAGCATGTCTCACAGGGGAACGGGCTTGGGCGACCGCGACATGGAAGCGTTCCCGAGCGCAGCCCCCCTTCCAGAGGAACGCGTGAAGCATGAAGGCATGTTGAAGATAGGCCATGCGCCCTTCTGGCCCCTGGAGCGTTCGACCCCGTCCCCACGACCAGTTTTGCTGTCGTGGGCCGAGTTCTGCTTGCCCCGAGGGCCCGAAGACGACCCCAGGATGCCGAAATGGCAGGAAACGCCCGTCGAGTTTTTCGCGGTGCCTCGACGTCTGGGGAGGGGGAGGGAAAGGGCCGTGGACGGGAGTCACATCCGTACCCGCGGGAACCATTCGTTCCCACGGCATCGCGGGCCAGGCCCCTGGGCCGCGACCCCGCGGATACGGGGTGTTTTTTTTTTTCGCAGATAGCCCGCGCGGGGCGTACCCATGCGACCGCGTGTCCACGGGATCGCGCCCCAGAATCCAGACCGCGAGGGCGAGGATATGGATGTGCCCGTCGCCCATGAGAAGGGGAACGGCGCGCCCCCGGGGCGCGCCTGGCCGTCTCTCCGAAAGAGGAGCGGCGTGGGCGACGGCGGCTGCGACGCCACCGTTGAGCTGGAGCCGTTGCCCACGCCGCCGCCGCCTCGGCTGGGCGATCGACTGGCTGCCAGAGGACCTCGTGGTGTTCCTTCCTCCTTACGATCGGCAGGACCGAAGTAGGTCCAGAAAGCACGAGACGAAGACCGACAGTAGTTCTGGTCCGTTTTGAAAGGGGCTCGCTGTCGGCGTCGCCGCGGACGTAGTCTGTTTGAGACAGCGAGTCGGTGAAAGAATTTGTGATTGGGCATCGTACCCATATTTTCAGTACCCCCTGCGGGCGTGCCAATTCTCCTTCGAGATTTCGAGGCATCACGAAAAAAACACGGCGGGATTTGCTCTTCTATGCCAGGTTTCGGGGGCAGTCTCCGTCCTTGTGGGTCATCAGGAACAGCCCGCGAGGGAAAACGGGTCTCGGGTGCGGGGCCAAGCGTTCCGACGGGCCACGCCGTGGAAGTAATTTATTCGACGCGGAGTACCGAAATTTTCAAGCATATTCCATCACAGTTTTTGTGGTCGCCCTTTGAAAGAACTTGTTTTCACCACCTTGATCCCAATCTACGTGATCCCAATATACTGATCCCCTCCTCCGCCTCCTCGAGGGAGGGAGCTCATACCCCGGTCCCCCCGAGGGAGGGAAATTGCTCCCTTTCCTCACGAGGGTGGCTCTTCATTCCTTTCCCAGCTTGACCTTCTCATTATCTTCACCATTACATTACCATCGTCACGCGTGTTGGCCTTGGCGCCCGCCTTGTTCTGGCTGACTTGGTCTGGCTTCGTTCGTACCCGAAGCCCTTCCCTGATCCCACCTTTCCCGCCGCACAGAGCTCGCGTCGAACACTCATTGCAACCCCTAATCGTTATCGGCCCCGTGGGAAATACATGACCCATATCCTCATCATCACCATCATCCTCACCATCACCATCATGACCATCAGCATCACCATCATCAGAATCATCATCGTCATCATCAGCAGCATCATCAGCATCATCACCATCACCATCATCATCAATGGCATCATCATCGTGATCGTCCTACTCAGCATCAGCAGCAGATTCATCATGACCGTCGTCGTCATCGTAATCATCGTCATCTCTCATCCTGAGGCTGACTCTGGCGACCTGTAGTTCTACGAACAGATATGGCCGTGCTCCTCCTCCTCCTCGCGCTCCTCCTCCTCCTCCTCCTCCTCCTCCTCCTCATCATCATCATCATCCTCCTGCTTCTGCTCCCACCCCTTATCCGCCTCATCCTTGTCATCCCGCGTCTCCTCCCTCCTCCCCCATCCGCATGCGCATATCTCCCTCATCTTCATTGCATTCAAGGTCCACCAGCATGGACCTGGAAGCACAGAGGGGGAGCCCTGTGGCGGCCGTGGAGCTGGAACCGCCAGGCGATCCGTGTCGCGCTGTGTCTGCCGATGCCTCCGCTACGCCTGCCCATCTTCCTGCTGTGGCTGCTCCGCGACCCTACCCCTCCTTACCTCTCCGCGCTGCATCCCTCCACCCCTTCCCCTCCGCATCATGCTCTCCTCTTCCTCTCGTCCTCCCTTCTCTCTTTGCCTCCCCTCCCGCCCTCCCCTCCCCTACCCTCTTCGTCCCCATCCACTCCGAGCAGTCCTTCGTTTTCGGGAGGGATTGGATTTCACCGAGCATCGCTGCAGCCCCACACCCCTTTCCGATCATCCGCCTGCCCCTGGTCCTCCTGCTTCTACTCATGTTGTTGCTACTGCGCCTCATCCTCCTCATCCTCCTTCTTCCTATCATCCTGCTCATCCACCACGTCCTCTTCCAATGTACAAAGCCCTCCCCCTATTTGATTGCGCATCACATGATACGGGGTCACTGTGGGGATCAAGGTCCTGTCGAACATCCCATTCGGCGGATGGAAAAGATTTCGGGGCAACGAGAGGGCATGGGTGGGAGGGGGACGGCCGGGACTTTTGGCTCACCGTGTCGTGGCGCCAGCTCTGGCTCTCCACGCTTCGGCACGACAAGCTATCCGCGTCCCAGTCCGCAGGCGTCATCATCCCGAGCTTCTCCCGAGCCCCGCGGAGCGAAGCGACGCGCTGTCCGTTTGCAGGGCATAGCGTGTCGCAGAGACCACCGCCACGACACGCCAAACAAAAGTCCCTGACCGCAGGGTGGGGGAGGGGAGTAGGCTGACAGATATGGCGCGAGCGCACCCAGCTTGTCTTGTGCCTCTCGGCCTTCTGCCCGCCTGCGCCTTCCGCGCCCGCAGCCCTGCCGGCGCGAGCCGGCCCGCTACGCTGGGCCCAGATGGCAGCGGCACGCCCTCCGAGAGATGGCGCCCCACGCGCCAGTGGTCCACGGGCTGCGCGAGGGGACGCTCGTGCGCGTCAGCGCCGGCGCCGAGGGGGGCGAGCGCGAGGAGTTGGCGGCGCCCACAGTGGCGTGGCGCGAGGGGGGCGGCCTTCTAAGAAGGCGGGAGGGGGGGGCCTTTGCAAGAAGGCGGGCGGCTCCTCAGGAGCCCTTCCTGGCTTCTGGGAGGCCTTCTTCGAGGCCACCAGGCCCTTCTAAGCAGGCCCACGTCCTCGACGAAGTCCCCCGACTTCTTAGCAGCCCGCCCCCCTCACACGCACCCCCCCCTGGTGGGCGCCGCCAAAGGAGGGCATCGGACAGCTCGGCAGGTACTTCCCGGACAGGCACGCTTTCCAGGCGACGGCGGCGGCGGCGGCGGTGGCGACGGCGGCGCGGCGGCAGCCCCAGACTGGGCCCACGTTGAGATGAATTTTGGTCAGCAGGGGCGCTGGCGAACCCCTCCTGCAGCTCCTGGTAAAAGTTGCGGGGTGGAGGCTGGGATGCCCCCGATGCGTCGACTTGCCTGCCCCAGAATCGGCAACGTCCCCATCTGGAGTGTCACCGTTTGCGGCGGCCTGCGATCGGGGCGACGCAGGCAGGGGCACCGTTCAATGGGGAAGGAGCGCAAGCGGGATACTCTCGATACGAAGCCTCATTCCATAGAACTTGGTAGCGAAGGGGCGAGCATTGAACAACGCAGTGGAGCAAAGCGGTGCATTTAGGGCAGCCCCGCGTCTACCTCGCACGTTTGCGAAGATGCCGATGCTCCGTTGACCAGTGTGTCCCAATCTGATCCCGTTGATAGGGACAAGGAGGAGAGGGGGGAAGGAGGAGGAGGGAAGCATGAGGGAGAGGGAATTGAAGCCGCCGGTTCAGAAGGCGCGATGCCATCGCGTTTCTTTTTCACTTGGGTCAGCGAATATTCCCGTCCGGATGTTTCCCTATCTGCTCGGGCCTGAGGCGAGCGACATACAACATTTGTTCGGCGAGGAACCCAACCCTTGGCCGCTTCATCTAAAGTTGGTGATGAACCACCACTGCATGCACGATATGGGTTGGGGGACGCATGCCAAGTGTCACGCCAGGGCTGTACGTGGATTTATGGGGCACGCACGCTCCGTGACGGGGTTGTGGTGGGATTGGCGAGGGGAACGCATGTAAATCCTGGCTCTATGGCCGTTGGTGGAGCTCTCCAAGGGGCACAAAAGTGTATGGGTGTGCCGAAATAGGTCGGGGTACGCATGCTAACTTTTCCACTGGGGCCGTAGATGGAACTCCCAGTGGTGCACGAAACGTTTGAGGGATGTGCCGACATGAGCGGGCGAACACACCCGTGGGGGCCGTAGGTGGATCTCATCTGTGCACACGAAACGTGCGACTGGTGTGCCGCAATGGGCGGGGAACGACATGCGAACGCGCTTATTTGAGCCGTAGGAGGAGCTTCCTGCGGGGCACGAGACGTGTGAGGGGTGTGTCGAAATGGGCGCAGGTACGCCCTGCCAGCTTTCCCACGGGTTGCGCAAGTGGAGCTTCTTGTGGGGCACGATCCGTACAAGGGGTGTGTCGAAATAGGCGGGGGGAACTACGGACGGGGCACGATCCGCGTGAGGGGTGTGCCGAGATGAGCGGGGGAACGCTATGCAAACGCAACTTCTGGGGCCGCAGATAGAGCTCCCTGTGGGGTGCGATCCGTCTGAGGGGTGTGCCGAAACAGGAGGGAGCGGCATTCGAACGCACCCACTGGGGTCGTAAGTGAAGCCCCCTGTGGGGCACGAAACGTGTACGTGTGAGGGAGGGGTGTGCCGAAACTGGTTCGGGCGGCGTGCGAACGTAACCACTGCGGTCGTATGTAGAGCTCACCGTGAGACACGACACGTGTAAGGGGTGTAGAAGCGGCATACGAACGCACCCGTTGGGGTCGCAGGTGGAGCTCCAGTTGGGGCACGATGCGGTGAGAAACGAAGCGTGTGAAGGCTGTGCCGGAATTGTCGAGGAACGGCGTGCGAACGCATTTTCTGGGGCTGTAGGTGGAGCTTTGTGTGGGGCACGACTCGTGTGAGGGGTGCGCCGGCATTGGCGAGGAATTGCACGCGAACGCGCCCATTGGCGCTGTAGGTCGAGCTCCCTGGACGGCACGATGAAGCTTGTGAAAGTAGTACCGAAAGGGGCCGGGGCGGCGTGCGAGAGCAATCATTGCGGTCGCAGGTACGCAGAACTCGCTGCGGAGCACCAGACGTGTGAGAGGCGTGACGCAGCAGGCGTGCAAGCGGCAGTCGAACGCACCCGTTGGCGTTGTGGGTGTTCCTTGTGCGGCACGATGCGTGTGAGGGGTGTGCCAACACGGGCTCGCGGAGAGCAGAGGCAGGGCGAGAAGGATGAGGAGGAGGAAGGGGAGGTGAAGAAGGAGACTCGTCGCGCTGTGGATTCAAAACGAGAACCGAACTCAACACAGCAGGGATGGGGAACAAAAAAGCGCGTCGACTGGACGGAAGCTCGCTCGCAGGTTGCTCGCGTAAGGTCGCGCGTGGGCGCCACATGTCCTCACGTGAGCCATGCAAAGGAAGGGGGTCGTCTTCACCGAGATTGGCGCGTAAGCTTCCCGCGTAAGATCGCGCCTAAGCGCCCTCGCTTCCGATGCGGCGTGCGGCGCTGGCGGCCCGCGTAAGCCACCGCGTAAGGTCGCTATGCTGTCTCGCGCAGGACCCGTCCCTTGCTGTCCCCACAGGCTGTGCCGCGTGAGCGGCCTGCGGAAGCCGCGCAGGGCTGCCGCGCGCCATTGTGCGTGCTAGCGAGTTTCCTCGCGTTCCGTTTCGGGGGGCCGATTCCGCAGTTCCGCCTGGTCCCGTCTGGAAATCGTGCAAATCCCAGGGCGTCGCAGCCAACTCTGCATGACCAGTCTGTTTGGACGTATCTGACCGATTTGGCTTCTGAGTTCGGCGTGCCAGTCTGAAGGGGCCCTGGGACACACAAATAAATACACACAAATAACAAGATCCCCCATATTTTCCAACATTTTCTTGGGATTTGTCTTCCCCCCCACTTCCCATGTTTTCCCATCTTTTCTGGGGAATCGCCGATTAATTGTGTCTATGTGTTTCTTTCCCTCCTGACAGTCCTGCACGAAGGATTGCAAAAAAAGCCGAAGGATTGCAAAAAAGGATTGCAAAAAAACCCTGGGCGAAGGATTGCAAAAAAACATTGGTTTTTTTGCAATCCTGGATTTGTTTTTGCAATCCTGGGTTTTTTTGCAATCCTTCGTCCCCGCCCCGCCCATGCCGCCCAGGTGACGCTGCTGGACGGGGCGCGCGCCGAGGTCCCCGCCGGGCACCTCTCCCGGGCCTCCGGCCTCGGGAGGCCCGGCGAGGGCGGCGTGGGCGCCTGCTTCGACCTGCTGTGGGGGCCCGCCGCCCGGGAGGCTCGGGCCGGACGAAAGGGGGCGTTTGGGAAAGGGGGGGTTACGGAATCTGCTGCGTGCAGCTGGTTTCGGCCTCGCCGCCGGGCCCATTCCTCGATACACATGAGCGCCTCCCGGCGCCGGGAGGCGCAGGGAAAGTCAGCTACGTGAGTTGATTCTCAACCCCCCCCTTTGCTATCCCCCCCTTTCGCCCGACCCGAGAGGCCGTGCTGGCGGAGGAGGCCCCGTCGGCGTCGTCGTCGTCGTCGTCGTCGGCGGCGGCGGCGGCGGCGGCGTCGTCGTCGTCGTCGTCGGACGTCGTCGTCGTCGTCGCCGCCGTCGTCGCCGTCGTCGTCGTCGTCGTCCTCGCCGTCGTCCTCGTCCTCGTCCCTCGTCGTCGGCGAAAGCCGTCGAACGCCGTCGTCGTCGACGCGGGCGACCACGGCGAGGGCATTGGCCGCGCCCTCTTGCGGGAAGGGCGGGCCACTCCCGGGTGTCACAGAGGGGCCAGGGCATCCCCAGCGGGGCGAATGCCTGGCCGCTTGGGGCTCCTGAGAGCAACCAGCGGCATGGCCCGGGTGCGTTTCGCCAGCGGCTTCCAGGACCCCCCCCCCCCGGTTTTCCCGTGGCTTCCCCAGGGTCTCGAGAGCCCGAAGATGCTTCTGGGAGCCGCCAGTCAACTGCGCCCAATCCTCCGCATGGGCTCTCCTCTGGAGCTCTCGAGCGTGCCCGTGCCCACTGCCAGCAGTTTCGCGCGAAACTTCAGCAGTCTCCCGCGGACCTCAGGTACTCCCGGGGAGCCGGGGAGCCGAGTCCAGGGACTTCCCCGGAGCCTCCAGGGGCCTATAGAGGAGGAGGTTGCCCCACCTCTGGCAGGAGGGGGGCATGCAGCAGTAGCGTGCCTGCCATAGGAGTCTGAAAAGCTTGTGCTCCGGGAAGCCTCAGGAAGTCGACTGAGCTCTCACGCCATGATCAAAGCAAGCGGCGCAAAGCTATATTGCCAGTCTGGAGCTGAAGTCTCAGATGCCTCTTCGTCCACTCGTTATTCCGCATCATCCACATGTCGCCTCGGGTGTTTGATGCAGGAATCATCGTGCACCCCACCTCTCATCATCATCCTCCCCATGCGTCACTGCCTCATGAGGTAAAGGCTACTGCATTGAATGGAGCTGTATCCCATATTACTCGCTGATCTCTCACTTTTACCGACCTCCCTCTGGGAGTCCCGAGAGGTGTCGCACACCCTCTTCGAGAAGGGTTTCTGCGTTCTCAAGCTGCTGCAGGGCCCACAGGATTGGATGAGCCCCTTAAAGGGGGGATGGACGACCCCACCGGTCCACACACACACATACAATCGGGAAATGTAAACACACAGCTCGGAGGAATAGTTTGGAGCGCCTGGGTTGGAGGGTATATGGCCCCAGGGCGGCCAGAGCCGTAGTGGGCATGAGATGCATTAAACGTATGAATGTGTATGTGTATGTATGCGCATGCATATATATATATATGTATATATATATGTGTGTATAAATGTATGTGATTGTGTGTGTGTGTGTTTTGAGAACCTGGGGCCCAAATATACCCATATCATAGACCTCTGCCCCCTGGGGTCTTGGGAGATTGGTTCCACAGGCGGTGGATGTGCATAAGTTCCGGCCTCGCAGTTGCATAGGTGGGCCTACTCAGTTGGGGCTTGTTGATGCGAAGTGCATGGTGTCCGTACTTGCCTTGGCCCTGGGGCCGCCCAGGGAGCCCAGGCGCCACGCAATGCTATCGCTGTTGTGTTGTGCTATGCCATGCTAGGCTGTGCACCGATGTATGGTGGTGCGCAACGCTATGCTATGCCAAGCGACACCATGCGATGGTATGATGTGAAGCGTCTCGCAACGCAATGAAATGCCGCGCTACGCTGTGCTGCTGAAACACACGTATATTTGAATACCCGTGTGTATACATATATATATATATATGTATATATATATATGTATATATGTATGTGTATATATATGTGTATGTATATATATATATAGATATATATATAATATATATATATATATATATATCCGTAAGGGCGTCGCCCTCTGCCGCCGGCCCCCTCTCTATCAGAATGGGATACATCAGAGCTATATTGGGATGTTCGGGCGCCGTCTTGATGAAATTTGGGAACGTCATGCTAGGGCGGCTGGCGATGAGCAAAACAGATTGAGATGCTGAAGTTGTTGTTGAACGCTTTGTTGCCTTCTTGGCATTTTCCTCCAGTTGTTCACTGGAAGCGCTCTGGGAACGGCTGGGGATTGCTTCAGGCAGTCTCTGGGAAGGTTATTTTTTCTGCTCTGGAGAAGGAGTGGCGCCTTTGGGCAGCTTCCGCGAGGTGGATTCGTAGCGTGGGGAGTGCACGCGAATTTGGTGTAATTTGCGGGGGATCGTGGCCTCGGGGACGCGCATGTGGCGTAATGTACTAGGGATCGTGGCCTGGGGGGCGCGACAGCGGCGTAAATTCGATGGATCGTTGCCTCGGGGGCGCGAATGTGGCGTAATTCACGCGGGGTCGTGGCCTCGGGGGCGCAAATGTGGCGTAACTTACGAGGGATCGTGGCCTGGGGGGAATGTGGAACCCACAGCAAAAGTCTCCAGAAACGGGAGGAGGGGCAAAAGAACACCAGCGGAGCACATTTCCCAATACAGAAAATTATTGCTTTTGCGTTGGAGAAGGGGAGCGCTTTGTCGCCAGCCTCTGCAAGGCGGATTCGTGGCCTCGGGGGCGCGCCCGCTGCGTAATTTACAAGGGATCGTGGCGCCATGGGCGCGAATTTGTCGTAATTTACGAGGGGTCGTGGCCTCGGGGGCGCGAACATGATGTAAGTTACGTAGGATCGTGGCTTCGGGGGCGCGAACGCGGCGTAAATTACGAGGGATCGTGGCCTTGAGGGCGCGAATGCGGAGTAATTTACGAAAGATCGTGGCCTCGGAGACGCAACTGTAGTGTAAATTGCAAGGGGTCGTGGCCTCGGAGACGCGAACGCGGAGTAATTTACGAAGGATTGTGGCCTCGGCGGCGCGAATACAGCGTAATTTGCAAGGGATTCTGGTTTGGGGGGCACGAAACTACCGTATTTTTATGTGTCCCACGCCCCCCCAGAAATTCTGAGAACCTTCCCGGGGGACGCTAACCAGGGCCCTTTTCGGCTCCCCCCCTCGCGCGGACAATGACAATTTACAGTAGGAAGCAGAAAGCAGCATTGTAACAATGGAAATTGGAAACTGGAACTGGCGCAGGGAGCAGCAACCTTACTCCTCGCAGCCTGATGGCCCCGCAAGGGGGCCGGCGGATAGATGTCAATGGGCAAAGCGATGATAGACTATGCTAGGCTACGCAACACTATGGTATACAACGCAGTAGTAAGCTAGGTAGTACCCCGCAGATGCGGATAAGAGTGAGGGCGCGGTGGGGACATCGGCAGGTTGCAAGTCTTTGGAGAAACCCGCCGCAGGCGCCGAAGTTTTACAAATTATGCAACGAGCCCGCCGCAGGCGCCGATTTTTTCTTTAAATCAATGTGGGTAGGTCGCGGGTGGGTCGCGGGTGGGTCGCGGGTGGGTCGCGGGGTGGGTCGCGGGTGGGTCGCGGGGGGGGTCGCGGGGTGGGTCGCGGGGGTCGCAAGTGGGTAGCGGGTTGGGTCGGGTGGGTCGCGGGGTGGGTCGCGGGGTAGGTCGCGGGTGGGTCGCTGATGGGTCGCGGGTGGATCGCGGGGTGGGTCGCGGGGTGGGTCGCGGGTGGGTCGCAAGTGGGTAGCGGGTTGGGTCGCGGGGTGGGTCGCGTGGTGGGTCGCGGGGTGGGTCGCGGGGTGGGTCGCGGGTGGGTCGCTGATGGGTCGCGGGTGTATCGCGGGGTCGCGGGGTGGGTCGCGGGTGGGACGACGACAACAAACAACAGCAACAACAACTACGCAACAACAACAGCAACAGCAACAGCAGCAACAGCAGCAACAACAGCAACAGCAGCAACAACCCCTTACCTGGCCTCGTGACGGGGCCAGGCCGCGCGCCGGCACGCCCAGGTGCATCAACCCTGTATCCAGCCCCGTGGCAGATGCGCTTGCTCTCACCGAGTGCGGACCCCCAGCCTGGCCCAGGGGGGGGTTGGCCCGTTGGCCCGGTCGTTGCCGGGGACACACCTCCGACGAAGGCATCTAAACACCACCACCGTGACAGGCCAGGGCCATCCTGAGCCCCAGGATGGTGTATAGACCCTCCTGGCCTCGGCCAGGATGGCGTATACACCATGGCAGGGCCAGGATGGCCCTGGCCTGGCACGGTGGTGGTGTATAGATGCCTTCTGCGTAACACCCATGCGCCAACCCTTTACCCGGCCCCGGCGGGTATGCACTCACGGGCGCTGCATCGGGAGCTGCAGCGGGAGCCGTCGCAGGGAGGTGCACCAGGAGGCAGGAGCGGGAGCTGCAGTCGGAGCTGTTCTGGGGGCGGCAGCGGGAGCTGCAGCGGGAGTTGGTGCGGGAGTGGCAGCGGGGCATGCATTGGCAACTCGACGGGTGGTCTACGGATGTCTGCCTTTTCTCTGCCACAACTCCTCCTCCCTTCGGGGAAGGGCACCCTTCAGTGTCCAAAATAATCAAAGCTGGCCCCCAAAGAGCCTCCGACGCTCTGAATTGCATCCCAAGGTTGTTCAAATTGACCGAAGATCTGTCAAGATAGCTTCCGACGTACCTCCAAGAGGCCCCCAGAAGCTTCCCAGGCGACCCAGAACCTCCAAAGCAAGCCCCCAAAGCGCTCTTCCCTTCGGGGAGGGGTACCCCTCCCTCCTCCCTGAGGTGTTTTCTGGGCGGGCCTCAAAAGGGCCTCAAGGGGGCCTCCGATGCTTCAAGATGGCACCCAAGATGGCTCAATATAGCGAAGATGGCTCAATATAGCTTCCGACATGCCTCCAGGAGGCCCCAAGAGGGCCAGATGACAGCTGCAGGTGCTCATTCTTCCTCATTTGAAAGGTCCGCGGGAGGTGTTGCAGGAGCAGTACACCAAGTTGTTGCAAGTTGCGGTTGCAAACGAAATTGTCGTGGCCGCACCAGAAGTGCCAACCCCTTGCCCGGCCCCGTGGGGGGGGGGGTGACGTTGGTGGCGCCGCCACAATGCTGGAATGCGGCGGGCGCCCACCGTGTGCCAACCCCTTCCCCGGCCCCGTCGGGGGGAGCGTTGAGCCGCAGCCCCAGTGCCAACCCCCCACCTGGCCCCGTGGGAGCCGTCCGCGATCGCCGAACCATGCTAACCCAGAAGGGGGTTCAACTTGGATTCTGGTACAGAACAAGACTTCAACAACCAGTGGGGACCAGGTTGAGGGTTGCTGCGAACAGCAGCAACAACAACAACACCACCAACAACAATAACAACAACAACAACAACAACAACAACAACAACAGCAACAACACTAACACTAACACTAACACTAACACTAACACTAACAACAACAACAACAACAACAACAACAACAACAACACCAATCATTTTACCCTCATGCGCCATGCTTCCACATGACACATGCATCCATCTGGATAACACACCCCACCATGGGGGATTTTTCTGGCATGCGGGATCCGATATTCCCTCACCCAGATATCCCGCCCAAGAAGGTTTGGCCACCACCTCTTCCGAGGAACTTCAACATCCATAGCTCGGACGGCACATCGCCTTCGCAATCGCCTTGCGCATGCCCCGCATCTCAGAGGGAGAGGAAGAGGAAGAGGAGGGGGAGATGAGAGAAATAGGGAGGGGGAGGAGGAGAAGGGAGGGGGAGGAGGGGGAGGAAGGATGAGTAGTTGTAGTAGCAGCAGTTGATGATATTGTTGTTGCGGCTGTAGCACTAGTAGTAGTGGTAACGGTAGTAGTAGTCCAAATAAGTAGAACTGGCTTGTGGCAGCCAAGCGTTCATAGCGACGTTGCTTTTTGATCCTCCTTTAATGTCTTCTCTCCCTATCCTTGAGACGCAGAAGTCTCAAAAAGTTGGATGGTTCAGCACATCCAGGAAACCTATCGCTGGACCGGCCCAGATACGGTTCCAGAAGCGGCTCGGGAAGCTGCGCAGGCGCCAGAAGCAGAGAAGCACCGCGTACGGGCGCCGGCTCGGGCGTCCGGCCCAAAGCCGCTCCAGAATCGGCCCAGGACGGCTTCTCGGGCGCCGCAAGCAGAAATTCAGCATTTTCGAAAGAAAAATGTGTATTGGAATGGCCTCTTTTCGGCGCGATCGGAACTGCCCGGGCGTCCGGCCCGGGAGCCGCGGGCCGGGTGCCGGCCGGGCCGGGTGCCGGCCCGAGCTCCGGAATCGGCCCGGACGGCCTCCCGGGCGCCAGAAGCAGAAATTCAGCATCTTTGAAAGAAAAATGTGCGTTGGAATGGCGTTTTTTCGGCGCCGCCTCGGAACTTGATTTTCCGGCGCCCGGGCGCCGGCTCGGGCGCCGACCCGGGCGTCCGGCCCGGGAGCCGGGCCGGGTGCCGGCCCGAGCTCCGGAATCGGCCCGGACGGCCTCCCGGGCGCCGGAAGCAGAAATTCAGCATTTTCGAAAGAAAAATGTGTATTGGAATGGCGTTTTTTCGGCGCCGCCTCGGAACTCGATTTTCCGGCGCCCGGGCGCCGGCTCGGGCGCCGACCCGGGCGTCCGGCCCGGGAGCCGGGCCGGGTGCCGGCCCGAGCTCCGGAATCGGCCCGGACGGCCTCCCGGGCGCCAGAAGCAGAAATTCAGCATTTTCGAAAGGAAAATGTGTATTGAAATGGCCTTTTTTCGGCGTCGCCTCGAAACTCGATTTTCTCGGGCGCCGGCTCGGGCGCGACCCGGGCTCGGAGCCGGGCCGGGTGACCCGGGCGTCCGGCCCGGGAGCCGGGCCGGGTGCCGGCCCGAGCTCCGGAATCGGCCCGGACGGCCTCCCTCCCGGGCGCCGGAAGCAGAAATTTAGCATTTTCGAAAGAAAAATGCGTATTGCATGGAATGGCCTTTTTTCGGCGCCGCCTCGGAACTCGATTTTCCGGCGCCCGGGCGCCGGCTCGGGCGCCGACCCGGGCGTCCGGCCCGGGAGCCGCTCTCGGCGGCGAGCAAGAGCACCGAGCCCGAGTAAAAAAGGAGGAAGTCTCGAGCCGGAGCGTTGTTGTTGTTGGGGGGCCGGTTTTGGCGGAACCCCAAAACGCCTGAGCGTGAGCCTCAATTTCAGAGGAAATGCGGCCGGCGATTCGGCGAGAGCGCCAGGGCGAATATAGGGGGTCCAACAATAATAATTGTTTAGTAATTAAGGCTCAACAACAACAACAACAACAACAACAACAACAACAGCAACAACAACAACAATACAAACATAAACATAAACATAAACATAAACATAAACACAAACATACATAATAACGCAACATGCGTAGTCCTCATTACGGGTCTTAATTTCAGTCATGTACCCAGGGACAATGAATGACCGTTCGGCTCCCTCACTCTGACACAGTACCATGCTATGATATGGCATGCCATGCTAGCTATACCATGCTACACGATTGTTAACCATGCGACGCTACACTGGTATCGCGCTACGGTAGGATGCTAGGTGGTGAAAAATACGCGATGCTATGCGGCACTGTGCAGTGCATCGCATTGCATTGCGTCCCACGCAAATCATTGTATTGCATGATCGCCTCAAGCCGAAACGGATACCGAAAAGTGGCGACGCGCTGGGTTAATTTGATGATCCCAGGGCTGGCCAGAAGACGGCCCCTGGAGGCTGGGGGGGGGGGAACGCCCGTCTTGTTTTTTTTTCCCGCGACGATCAGAGGTTCCTGGGGAAGGGGCAGAGGGATCGGTAGGCAATGGATTTTGCGCACCATAGGGCTTAGCAGATCCCGTCCCGCCCTGACAGATCAGCGTTGCCTGGGTTGGGAAGAAGGTTTCTTGGTCGTCCCCCTATTTATTCCACCTCCGAATCTCCCATGTCAAGGGAAGTTCACCGCACCAGCTGTCGAGAGTAGCTCCATGAATGCACAGACTCATCTGACAGCTTTGGTCCAGTCCGTTTTGTTCCAGTCCCACTGAGTGGGCTCAGCGCTTCTCGCGCTCATTTGGTAGATGGTGCCGAAGGTGATAAATCCCCCTCCTCCCCCTCCTCCTTCTCCCTCCTTCCCACTGGCTCGTCTGACAAGCTTCCTAGGCCGTTGCTGTCGGCGAGGGTGCTTGCGGGCCCCGCCTCGCCGCCTCGGGAGGACGCTGCCGCCACCCTTGCGCTGGCAGAGGGCCTGCGGGAGGACGGGAAGCTGGTCAGGCTGCCCGAGGAGCTGGCGCGTTGCAAAGAGCGGGGGCGAACCCATCGGGAATTTTGGGTGATGGTAGGAGGCTGGATGCGCTCACTGGGGGGGAGGGGGGGATACGAGAGGGGAGGGGGGGCGGAAGGTGGTGGAGGGTGGGGGGTGGGGGGAGGGAGGGGGGGAGGGGAGACAGGGGGAGACGGGGGGCTGCGAGGGGTACTGGGGACCAGGGTCGATCTGTCTGATGTGGGGCATTGCCCTTGTGCGACCCTCCGCTGGCCCGGCAAGCTGGGCACTCCTGGAGTCCTGACCCCTCCCTTTTACTCCCCCCTCCCCTCCCCCTCCGCAGGCCTGTTCTGTGTCGTGTGATATCACGACGGAAGATGTTTGGCTCGTTTGGGATTCAGGCGACCCTTTCCGGGCCCGGGAGCCGTAGCAAACGCTGCTCAGGTTGAAGAGCCGGTCGCAGGGAAGTGGTCGAGACCTCCAGATGTCCACGTCGTGGAACAAAACGTCGGGGGACTGGGTCTCCCACTTCCTCCCCCGCCTGCCCCAGTCGCCTTTTCCCTGGCATCCCGGTCGGCCACAGCAAGTGGAGGAGCTCCTGGATCCGCCCCGCTCCCTCCTCCATCCCCGCCCCTCCTCTCCTCTCCTCCTTGCCCCCCCTCTTCCCTCCTTTCCCGTGACCCGTCCCGATGCCCTTCTCTCCTCTCCCCTCCTCTCCCCTCCTCTCCCGACCCCCCGTCCCCTTCCCCCTCCTCTCCTCTCCTCCTTGCCCCCCCTTTCCCTCCTTTCCTCTTCCCTCCTCTCCTCCCCTCCCTGCCCCCCCTCCCCTTGCCTGCCCCGAGCTCCTGATGGTCCTCGCTGGGGCTCCGGCCTCCACGCCGAGCCCTGGCGGCCCAGCGGAGCGCGCACTTCTCCGGCGCTCGCTCGCCGGCTCGCCCCCCTCCCGTGCCTTCCCAAATCGGCCTTCCCCTGGGCCTCCCAGCCTGCCAGAGTGAAGTCGGGCTTGTCCCTCTACAGGGGGAGCATTCAAGAATAGTCGAAAAATTGTCTGAGGGCTCTTCTTTTAGCATTTTTTTGCCATTTCGGATAATTGTTTAGGGGACACGCCCGACTTAAATGCCAGAGGAGGTGGAGGAGCACTACCTGGGCAGCGGCAACAGGGGAACGGTGCTCTGGCTGGACAGGCGCCGAGGTTCGAAAGGCGGCATTCCCTGGCATCCAGCGTCGTGGAAACCATGACCAGCGCTTTGCCCAGCCTCGGACTCCTGGGACCCTCACGGGTTGATGCTACGCGGCGTTCCGATCGGTCACGACGTCGGATCTCGGGGAAACATGATCCGGCCGACGCGGATATTATCCCAGGGTGCGCGGAAAATTCTTGGCTCAAGACCCAGACGTGAGTCGCGAATGGTAAAGGTATGGATATGAAGGCTTTCTGCTACCGCCGCCAGCCCCTTGGCCCAGGCATCGAGGGATCCCTCCCCATGCGCATTCCTCCTCCATGCGCAGGGCTGCGGCCGACTTTGGCGGGTTCCACGAAGGCCCGGCCATTATCTGTTTCTAGAGCCCTCGCGTTTCATGCGCTCCTTTACCCAGTCCGAATGGCCCAGGTGAGGACAGGGGACGGAGAGGAGGGGGGCCCTGAGATTCGACGTCGTGGAAGGTGCCCAGGGACGTATTTACCCGCCCCATGCGCAAGGCTTGGCAGTGTCAACATCGAGCCCATCCACAACGAACGAAAGTTTGAAAGGGCATGTTGTCCCATACGGAAGCTACACATGAGGCACCTGTTTCCCCAGACAGCGCTTGCACTGAAGGATTCTCGGTTGTCTTCTCAGCAATTGGACCCTTTTGTTGGGCGTGCGCCCGTTGGACGCCCGCGAGCGCCTCGTGGGCGCCCCGTGCGTGGTGGCTGGTTGTTGAGCTTTCGCTCGTTCGGCTACGTTGGCACCTCATCGCCGCCCACATAGTTTACACCACATGAGTTACACCACCTAGCTTAGAGCACATAGCTTATACCTCTCAGCCTATAGCACATAGCTTGCATTTCAATGATTACAACATGTTGTTGCATCCTTTCTGAGCAAGGAAAACAGTCAACCACCTGCCGTGCCCGGATTTATCGGGACCTTTGGGGATGTCGCAAATTACGTATGGTTATGTTTTATGTGTCACTTCTCATGCGAAATCAGACCATCCCAGCCAGGCTGGCATCGACAACGCCCCTCATCCTTGTCATATGAGATTGTGCGCGCGCACTCGCTCAAATAAAAGTTCTGGTTTCAAGAACCCGTATCAAAACATACCACACGGTCCACATGCGGGCACACGTTGACATCAGGATAAGCACATCATTTCCGCCAGCATCGCAATTCAACTGGTAAACACCACTTGGTTTTCCAATGTCATTATTGCAGATGTTCTGCCCGCGCACTTGCAATCATGGGGGGGATCCATATGGTGTGAGCAGTCCCGCCCAGAACCCTCCAATTACCATTCCACCACGCGGCGCATCCGCGCTCATCGAACACGCGACTAGCGCACGAATCCGTGCCATGTAATACCATGCGGGACACATGCGCGTGCCGCTGTTGCCGACGCCATCGCGGCAACCACTTTCACCACCGACACATGGACATCACCATCGTCAACGTCGTCACCAGCATCGGCGCCGTCATTGGCCTTGCCGTCGTCATCGTCGTCGTCGTCCTCCGCCTCCTCTACCTCCTCCTCATCCTCCGTGTACTCTCCTCCAAAAAATGCCCCTGGCCCTAGGTGACTCCAGGAGCTCCAGGAGGCCCCCGACGGCCTCCAGAGCACGGCGACGACGACGAAGGCGACGACGACGACGACGACAACGACGACGACAACGACCACGACGACGACGACAACGTTGACGACGACGACGACGACGACGACGACGACGACGACGACAGCGGCGGCGGCGGCGGCGGCAGAGACGAAAGCGACGACGCCATACCCCTGGACACGAGCGACAGCGAGGTCGCGCGGAGCAGGCGCGAGAGCGCGAAAGCGCATTCAGGGTGTCCAACAGTAATCATTATTAAGCGACGACGCCACGCCCCAGGACACAAGCGAAAGCGAGGTCGCGCGGAGCGGGCGCGTGAGTGCGACAGCGCACTCAGGGTGTCCAGAATTCTTAATTGTTTGGCATGTACGGTTCAACAAGGACTTGGGAAGCTTCAGGGCCTCCTGGGAGTCCTGAGTAGAGGCGGAGGAAGTATCGAGCGGGAGGAGCGTCGTTGTTCGTAGGAGGTCCGTAGGCGGGAGCGCCGATTTTGTTGGAAAGGCGGTTTGGGGGGGGCGAGCAAGAGCCCCGGCCCCGAGCGAGAAGGAGGAAGTATCGAGCCAGAACGTTTTTGTTGTTGCGGGTGGCGGTTGCGACGTTGTTGTTGTCGTTGGGGGGGGGGGGGGGGGGCAGTTTTGGCGGAGCCCCGACACGCTTGAGCGCGGGCCTAGTTTTCGGAGGAAACGCAGCGGGCGCCTTGGCGAAAGCGCGAAATCGCACTCACGGCACCCAACAGCACTAGTTGTCAAGAATTAAGGTTCAACCCGTATGTTAAGACGGTTCGCTCATATTTGCGCGCGCAATTCATCGCGCGTGCCCCCTGCCTTCGATACCCTCCCTCTTCGTCTTCGATCGTACTCCCCTGGTGTATATCGTTTTAATCTGCGACGCGTATTTCGCGCAGACCCTAAGGCACGGGAAGAGAAGGCGGATGGGAGACAGGGACACGGGCGAGGGGGAGGAGGATGGAGCAAGAGAGAGAGAGAGAGAGAGAGAGAGACAACAAAATGTTTAAAACAAATACAGGGAGTAGCAGGGGGGGGGGCCAGGACCAAATAACACGCGGCAGAACCAGACGGGCAGATCGGGCGGGTACACTCTAACAGGCTGGTCGGGAAGGCAGGCCCAGGCGGCCAAGTCGAGCTGGCGGGTTGCTGAAGCGCGCGTCCTGCATGATTTGCAAGGAAGTCTCGAGCGATAACGCGATCCACAAATAAATCGCGAGATTGTCCCAAGCGAGAGCCTGATTCCTGAGTGTCGGGGGCGCGGCGTCTGAATTAATTGCGAAGGCGTCCCACGCGAGATCGCGAATTCTGCATGAATTGTGAGGACGTCCCCCGCGAGAGCGCGGTGCGAGCCCCGAGGACGGCATTTCAATTGAAAAATACAATGTGCCCCGGAGGGGGATCAACAATACATATTATTCAGTTATGAGAATCCAACAACAAAACACCAGCAACAAATGCAACAACAATCATGTTAATATTGTTCGCTCTTATCTGATCGCGTGCCATTCAATTCGTATACCCCAAACCCTCGATAGTTTTTTTTGTTGCGTTTTCGATCGTATTCCGCTGGGGGTACATGTTTCTGATTTGCGACTTGTGTTTCGTGCAACCCCGACGGCAGGGAAAGACAGGACGAATGGAAGAAAGGAGCAAGGGGGAGGGAGGAGGATGGAGCACGACATATATATATATATATATATATAGAGAGAGAGAGAGAGAGAGAGAGTGGCAGAGGGGGCCAGGACCAGCAAACACGTGGCAGAACCAGACGGGCAAATCGGGCGGGTACACCCTAACAGGCGGGCCGGGAAGGCGAGCCCAGGCGGCCAAGTCGAGCAGGTGGGTTGCTGAAGCGTGCGTCCTGCATGAATCGCGAGGAAGTCTCGAGCGATAGCGCGATTCCCAAGTAAATCGTGCGGTTGGCAAAAGCGAGAGCAGGATTCCTGAGTGTCGAGGGCGCGGCGTCTGAATAAGTTGGGAGACAGTCCCACGCGAGAGCGCGATTTCAGCACACATGGTGAAGAGGTCCCGCGTGAGAGCGCGATTCGGGAATACAATGTGAAGAAGCATTCGGCGGGAGCCGCTGTTGTTGCAACCTGGGGGCCAAGGACACAATTCAGATATTCATTATCTCCACAAATGAAATACGGGTTGCGAGCCCCAGGGAAGGCACTTGAATTGACAAACGCAACATGCCCCGGAGGGGGGGATCACCATTAGTTATTGTTTAGAAATGAGAATTCAACGACAACAACAACAATGGGCAGCCTATTTCGGGAATGTTGTCTGACGCCGTCGCCCTGGACAGCATGAAGCGCAGGTGCAACAGCGACAACCCGTCCATGTCGTCGGCGTTCGCCCAGGCAGCCGAGGTCGAATTTGGATTGGCGCAGCACCGCATTCACCTGGACCGCCCACACGCCCACGAAAATGGCGACAATCGTGCAGCTCTCGACAAGCAAGGACGCGAGCTCGAATCTGAATCTGCGAAGCACCGCACCCCAACAAGCGCCCGAAAGTGGCGACAATTGCGCAGCTGGCAGCACCCATGGAGGCAAGGAGCTCTCATGATGGACTTGCACATCACCGCACTCCGCTGGGCGCTGGACCTCCGACGGGCCCACGACAGTGGCGGCAATAGTGCGCGTGGCACCACGCGGAGAGCCGAGGACGAACTTGGATCCACGTACCACCTCACCCCTCCGGACCTCCCATCGGGGTCATGGTATACTTTTTTTTTACAGCCGCAGGCGGAAGCGCCAGCGGCGGAAGGTCGCGAACGGGCCGCGGACGCGACTGAATTACCTAACGCGCGCAGGGCCGCGGATCAGGCGGCTCACGACAGCGTCCAGGGGTCATGGTGTACGCGACATCTGCGGAACCGCATCTCGCTAGACCTCCACTGAGCTCACGAAAAGGGCGACAGCTGTGCAGGCTGGTACCACTCAGAGAGCCAATGTCGAATCTGGATCCGCACAGCGCCCCATCTCTCTGGACTTCCCGTGAGGGTCACGGCATGGGCGACATTTGAGGAACCATACCCCGTTGGACGTTCCACGAATTCGCGAAAGTGGCCACGGTTGTGCACGACGCCCAGATCCGAGGGGACGCCAACGGTGTCGGGCACAGGCTCGCTGCCATAGGACGACGGAAGGGGGGCGGGGGCTCTTCTTTTGTCTGGAGGCGTCTGAGCGGCCTGGAGGACGATTTCCTGCGCGACGCCGACGCCGGGGTCAGCCGGCTGGCATCGCTGCTCCGGCCCTACCTTGACGACGCCATTCTGGGAGGGGCCCCCGCGGGTCCTCCGCCCAGGCAATGCAAGGGGGTGACCATTGAGGGGGTCGCCAGATCCTCCTGAGGGTCGAGGTCCGAGGATCGAGGAGAGTTCTGGATTCTGTCTAGTGCTAGGGGAGGTTCAGGGGGGGAGAGGGGGGTCCTGAAGGGTCCTCCTCTTCGAGGGGATGGCGGCCGCCCTGGTGGCGACACCCCGTGGCGCACTGCCAAGAGCTCACGAGCTCACCCCCTCCTCGACAGTCTAGTGAGCGCGATGACGTAGTCATCGACCCAGTAGAGAAGAACAGCAACGAGGCCGAAGGCAGCGTTATCGGCGAGAGCGAAAGCAGCACTACAGTACTCAATCTCCTCCCTCGCCCTCCCTCTCCTCGCGCCGTTCCCCCTTCCACCCCCCCCCTTTCCGCCTCCACCAGGGTCTCTGGAGCTCTGGACCCCCTCCATGGGGCCTGCTCTTCGTCCTGGTTCGTTTCCAACGGCCTCGAGGCCTCGGAACAGGCCCCTTGCAGACGCCGACAATGACGAGAACCCCCCAGCACGAGCCTCTCGAGTCCCCGGATGTCTGGGGCCCCGGGGGGTCGGGTCTCACCCGTGGACCTCTGTCGGAGTGCGTTTTGGCTGAGACTTCGAAGGGAAACGCAGGCGCGACAACAAGAAGCTCCCGCCTGCCCAAAGGGGGCATGACAAATGGCAAACGAACCAACAAAAACACATCATGAGCAACACGTCAAAACGTAAAAACAACCAACTTATAAGAAAGTTCACCGCGTGGGCCCTGCCCCACCAGCCAAAGCGGCGAGCATACATCGGGCGTAGTTCCGTAGACGTTGTGCACCCCTTGCGTAGACATTCCGTGCCAACGAAGCATAGGTGGCGCCATAGGTTGCGCCAGAGTTTGCACAATAGGTCTGGCCCTGGTTGCGTCATCCATGGGTTGCGCCATAAGTTGCGCCACGGGTTGCGGCACGGGTTGTGCTATCCATGGGTTGCACGAAATCCATGGGTTGCGCAAAGGGTTGCGCCCTCGGTTGCCGACCATAGAACTGTTTGTTAACGGTTGCGCCATCGGTTGCGCCTTCGGTTGCCGAGCACTGGACTGCTTGCTAACAGGTGCGCTATAGGTCGAGCCCTCGATGGCCCGAGCAAACACTGCCTGCTCATAGTTGCGCCGTATGTTGTGCCACTGGCGGCCTGGCGTAACACTGTTTGCAGACGGTTTCGCCAGAGGCTGCGCACTCAGCCACACATGAGATCCTAATGGGTGCGACCCGTCGGTCAGTAAGTCAGCCAGGTAGGGCACCTCACGAAAAAAACAAATCTGGGTCACGCCCCAACAGCTACAGCCTCTGCCCTCAAACCTCGACCCGCGAGCAGAGCGGGCTCACCTCGGGCGGGCACAGGAGCAGGATAAGTCACTCCAGAGCGTCCCGGAACGCTCTCAGAGTTGGGGGGCTGATAAATGAGGGGGTGAAGAAAGATGCACCTGTTGCACACTTCAGCGGGCCCCCTCGGGCCCAGAAGGGGCACGAACGGTGCACGCTTCTCCCCCTTCTTGATCGCCCACCCATTGACTAACGCCCGATCTGGAGCGCTCCGGAATGGCCGCGCGGCGCCCGATACATCCTCCCGAACCGCAGGATCTCAGAGGTCTCCGAGTTGTACCCAGTTTGGTTGTGTCTCGGTCCTGGCCTCGTCTTGAGCCTCGAGCCCGGCGGGCACACCGTGGGGAGCCTCCCAGCCATCGGAGCCCAGCCGGCGGAGCGAACCCCCGCGCTGCTGAGCCTCTCGCTCGCGGAGTCGGAGGAGGAGGGCTTCCCGCCCGCGCTGGCCGACGACAGGCCTGGTGGGCGGCTGGGGGAGGTGATCGAGGAGGAGGAGGAGGAGGAGGAGGAGGAGGAGGAGGAGGAGGAGGAGGAGGAGGAGGAGGAGGAGGAGGAGGAGGGAGGGGGAGAGGAGGAGGACCCTGAGATCCGAGGAAGAGCAGGAGGCAGGAGGAGGAGGAGGAAGAGGAGGAGGAGGAGGCAGGAGAATGAGGAGATTGAGGAGGAGGACCCTGAGATCCGACGTGGCGAAAAAGTGCAAAATCGTGACAGATTGCGACTGGAGCCCTAGACACCATCTTTCTGCGTCATTTTCAGGCCTGGATCGATCTGTGAAGGTACAGGTGCCCGAAAACAAGCGAAAACGCCCGATTCGAACAAATTGAGACGCCAGGATCTCAGGGGAGGAGAAGCTTCCAAAAGAAGGAGGAGGAGGAGAAGGAGGAGGAGAAAGAGCAGAAGGAGAAAGAGGAAAGGAGGAGGCAGGATGAGGAGGTTCAGGAGAAGGAGAGAGGAGAAGGAGGCGGAGGAAAAGGAGGAGAAGGAGGAGGAGCAACAGGAGAAGGAGAACGAGGAGAAGGAGGAGGAGGAGCCAGGAGGAGGAGGAGGAGGAGGAGGAGGAGGAGGACGAGGTCCAGGAGGAGGAGGGGCAGGAGGAGGACGAGGAGCACGAGGACGAAGACGAGGTTGGGGAGCCCCCAGCGCCGCGCCGGCGTGCGTTGGAGAGCGCTCGTCTGCTCGATGCTCCCGGGCCTTACCCCGGGCTCTGGCGCGAAGGGGGGGGCCCTCGCGGGCGACGATAGGGGGGGGATAGGCATAGGGTGGCTCCGCCCGAGACTTGAGCAAAACAGTGCTGGAACATGACATTGTAATTGGGCCCCGCGGCCTAGCGAGCCCCACTTTGACGTCTTCTCTCTTGTCGCGGGCGCAACGCCACTGACAATGTTGTACCGGGGCCCCGTCGCCTAACAGGATGCGCTGCATTTGGCCGAATTGTTTCATCGGCGAAGTAGGGTGGGCGCATCGACTTCGAATGTCGGATATAGCCAGGACCCCAGGTAAGGGGAACCCGTGAGTGATGGGGCCCCGAAGTCCTCCAAATTAGCCAGAATCACTCAGCCAGATCTGCCGTAGCTCGTGTTTTTCGGGTGACGGCAGCTCCAGGTAGTGGAACGGGGCGGTGGAGGCGCCCCCAAAACACATCATTAAACCAGGTCCCACTGAACCCGGTCCCGCCAATGCCCGAAACGATAAGGGGGGGATGGTCATAGGGGGGAGCGCATCAACCTCGAATGGTTGATACATCGACGATGCATCGTTGAGATCAGGGCGATGTATTCACGATGTACAGACGATGCATTGGCGATGTATCGCGCATTCGAGGTCGATAATACATTCCCCCCGTGCCTATCACGCCCCATCGTTGCCCCTCAGGTCCTCGTCCTTCTTCTCAGGGTGCGCTAGCCCTGCTGTATCCTACTTTCTATCCGCCCCCTGGTGGCGAAAGCCGCGGGGGGGGGGCAGCTCCGACCATCGGTTACACTGTCATCAGTGCCAAGTACCAAGGGGTCATGGGCGTTCGAAGAGGAGGACGAGGAGGAAGAGGAGGAGGAGGAGGAGGAGGAGGAGGAGCAGGCGGAGGAGGGGGCAGGCTCGAGGCTCGAGGAAGGAGGAGAAGGAGGAGAAGGAGGAGGAGGAGGGCAGGTAAGGAGGCGAAGGGCGAGAAGGAGGAGAAGGAGGAGGATGGGGGGCGAGGCTCGAGGAAGAGCTTCGTCAGTTACTGTCTCTGGATGCCAGGCCCCAGTGCCCTGAAATTCGATCGGGGGGGGAACAGGGTGGGCACCGCGAGGGTCATGAGAGAGAGATTCGGTGGGAGGGGGAGGAAGAACAGGAGGAGGAGGAGGAGGAGGAGAAGGAGAGCTGGTGGAGGAGAAGAAGGAGAAGGAGGAGGACCAGAATGGCCCAAGACGAATCAACGATGGTGCAAGAAGCCCTCCCGCTAAAGTCCCTCCTCGTAGGGCCTTACAAGAATGTGTTCTCCTTACGTGAAATACCCCATAAGAAGACAACCGTCTGATAATCCTCAATCGTACTGAAACACAGTTCCTGGGACTTCAGCGTCGCGAGTAAACGTGGTAGTTGCACCCTTACATTCCTGAATCGTGCCACATCACAATTCCTGGGACTGCAGCGTCGCAAATCCAAGTGGTTGCAGCGTCCTGACAGTCCCAACTCATGCCAGAACGCGGCTGCTGGGACTTCAACCGCGAATCAACGTTACTGCTGCGTCTGGGCAATCGTAAATCTTGCCAGAACACCATTCCTAGGACTTCGACAATGCGAATCCTTAAAACTGTTGCAAACTTTCCAGACGTATGTGCGCGGCGCTCAGGCGAGAGCCACATTTTGAGAAAGAGCCACCCTTCATCCTCGAAACTGCTGCCAGCTTCTAAGGCGAATGTGCGCGACGCTACGGCAAGAGCCAGACAGAACCGCCAGTCATCCTTGAAACTGCTGCCCACTTTTAAGATGAATGTACGCGGTGCTAACGCGATAGCCATATTTTGAAAACCACCCGCCCTCCATCTTTGAAGACACCACAATGTTTTACAAGAAATTTGCGCAGCGCACCGGCGAGAGACACATTTTGAAAACGGCCCGCCCTCCATCCGTGAGAATGTTGTAAAGTTCAAGCTTGAGCATCATACATGGCGAGGAGGTCTCAGTCGCAACGCCCAGCCCGCCCTACCGACACGCCTGCGGGTGCAGCAGGAGCAGGAGCAGCAGGAGGAGGAGGGCGACGAGGACGAGGAGGACCCCCCCCCCCGCTCCTCGCCCAGGCTTCTGGGAGCGTTCTTGGGGACCTGGCGCCGCCAGCTGCTCAGGTTCGTACACTTCCTGGGGCCCGCTGCCCACGAGGTGCGTGGCTGCGAAGCGGCAAGCTGGCAAGCTTATTCCGTCTACAGTTCAAACTCCCAGTATGGGTGCAGTGCGCGAGCCAGGCCCCTTGCGCCCGTGCTCGCTCTGCACATCAGGTGCATATATTGTCTACACCTTCTGGGAACGACTCAGTTCGCTGT